TTTCTCTACTCTGCTCTGCTTTATTTTTTGTGGTTTCTCTTGGTTTTCTGTCAATTGCTCATTCATAGGTGGTTTTATTAAGTATTAAAGGTATACAAAAGCTGATCAAAATTAAGAGATCAGTACAAAGGCAGCAAGAAGCACTCTTAAACAGTAACAGTTAAGAGAGCAAAGCACCCTATGACCTTAAAAGGAAACAGAGCCACCAACCTTAAAAGGAAACAGAGCCACCAACCTATCACCTGTTCACCCCTTACGGAATATAGGCATACAATGAAAAATCAACAACAACCAACAGCCCCCATAACACCATGGAGGAGCATAAACGTTATAATAACAGAATCCTCAAACGAAACAGCTACATCATATTAATTCCAAGCCAATGTTATCTAAACTGTGAATGATGGAAGAAAAGCAGTTTCAACTTAGAACAGAAGCAACATGGCTTACCACCATGCGAAAAAACATATTGGCTCTTTCAACTCCAAATGTATTAGCTTCATGGAGTGTATCCACAAACACAATATCCTCCATCTTTCTCTTCAAACTAACAATCTCTTTAAACTATGCTGATGGTTCCATGTCTGCTTGTTACCAACCCATGCGGGTTCTACCTTAGAATTTGATCTATAATTAATCTCTTGAAACTCACCCAAGGTGAAGATGCACAAAGCTTTAATGCGTGCTTGATGACCATCAACTGTGCATAATTGGACTCTTGAATTTTAAGAGGACCAAAAAATAGCCCATAATCGAACCCTTATCATCTCCAAGGACTCCTCCACAATCAGCAAGTCTTGATTTTCTTCAAGTCGGTTCATCTACATTAAACTTAATTCTCCTTCATAAGGAGGAATTCAAACAATAAAAGACCAGCACTTAAATCTTTTCGATTCATTCCACAACCCATAGCCTCATTTCCTTCATTTGCCCTCAACCAATCTCATCTTCACTAAGAAAATAATTTCCTCCTTGTCTCAAATCTTCTCTATAAAAATAGAATCATTCCTTGCAAGCCATAAGAACCACAAGGTAACACCACATACCACTATTCATTTTTTTTCAATGCACTCCCATTAAAACAATCTTCCAGAGATCTAGTGAAGGATTCAACTGAATTTGGAATCACCCAAGTAAAGCCCCACCATTTTCTTTATATGTTGCAGATTGACGGGATATACTTTTAGGTTCTATTTTTCTTTCTTCCTTTCAGTGCCACCATCCTAAAACAATTTAAAACGTTTCCAATTTCCTTTAGATGTTGCTACGTAAGAAATTAAACAAGACCAAATCCAACCTTGCTCTATTAAACAAGTTGTAAGGGGTTCAACATAGCCCACATATATTGTGTCAAAGTTGATTACATGTTCATTTATGGTTCAATATTTTTGTTTGACAGGCTGGGCGGGATAGGGCAAAGTGATTTTGGTGTGTGGTTGCCCCACACCACCATGTCCTGCCCCGCTTATATTATTATTTACATCTTTATATGTGTATATATTTTTTCTGATAGGTTTAATTAGTTAAATTTAAAAATTTATGCTGAATGCGATTGATTTTATTATTTTATTTCATAAATCTTTTGAAAATTATATTAACTTTGGTTTATCAAAATTTGTATTTGACACTTTTTAATATTATGGTAGTTATATGTTATTAAGTAAATTGACATGTAGAAAAAATTATTGACCGAAAAGATAGAACGAAAATGGATGTTAATGATATGCATGGCAGGATAGGGTGAGGAGTTTTGGTTGTCTAAGTGGGTTAGGAGTGGGTGAGGTTGATTTGCCAATGAATTGAAGGTGTCATTAAGGCTTAGATTTTTGGATATCTTTTTCATCAATACTAACATATTTTTGCTAATAACTTCATTTTATTTTATTTAATCCTCACTTGAATCTGATTCTTTTCCCAATCTATCAAGGAATGTGACCTTGCCATGTTTTTTTCATTGTTTTTGCAGGTCCATTTTGACCACAAGCACATGGGTTCAGGCAGAGACAACAGCTTTATGCTGAAATTTTATAATAACATCAGTGTTTATTATTTTACTAAATCATATATTTATCCTTCATTTTCCAAGCACTCTGAGAGGCTAAGTGCTAACTTAATTTTGATTTTAGAGATGAGTTACTTTGTAACAAGCCGGTCATCTATTATGCCCACATGTAATTAGTGTAAAGGGTACCTGTCAAACTTGTAGAAGTTTATAGAACAGTGAAACGGGAGAATGCTTTACATATTTTGGTTCTCCTAGATGACTTCTTCTTGATTGTGTGCTTCAAGGCAGTTCAATTGCTTTATGCTTATTTATGTTTTGATCACAGAGATTCAGCTTTTATCCAGAAACATGAAAATGAGAGTTGTTTACTGTTGTTGAAAGGCAAAGGAGCATCACTGAAGAATGCACCTCTTTCTATTAGTGTACTGAAATCATGGTTTGTAAATTTTAGAATCCTCTTACTCTGGTTTTTAACTCTATTTTAATTTCATTCATTGATTCTTTATTTTTTAATAACTTTTCTTTCATTTGATTTGTACATGCTGGAATCTGAACCTCTACTTGGGATGTACTTTATCGTGGTATCATACTAACTGAATTTAGCAATCAGGTACATAATATGTAATTTCTCTTTTGATTCCAATTTAACTGCACTTAACCTCAACACAAGTTACTACATCACAAGCGAAAGGAAAAATAAGGGAAAATATGAACAGAAGAAAATAAAGAGAGATGGTGCCAATCAAATAGAACAATTGTCTTGGTATAAAAGTTTTGCTAAAGACACTTGGCATGACTTCTTTGTTATTATTCTTAGATATTAAAGACTTAAAATGTAACGAAGTTCACATCGGACTGGCGTAAGCTCTTATACCATTTGTAACGACCCAAGTCTAACCATTAGCTCAGCAACTCTTTGGATCTAAACCACGTGACTCTCAAAAGCTTAAGCTCAAGTTGCTAGTAGTAGTAAACTTGGATTATTATATAGATCTTAACAATCACATTCAAATCAGATGTGGGATATTGAGTATCACATAAAGAGTAAGGGGAAGAGAATGGGAATTAAATCTAGCCAACACAATTAGTTCCTCTTTTTCTTCCTGATGAAAGTGCTAGTTAGATATTTCAATTTATAAATTGTTTACTATATCTCTTGCAATGGTGATACCAATTCCTCAGAGAACCTGAACCATTCCTCTACTGCTTTATATATAAAATATAAAGAAGTTCATTTTCTTGATTTATTTCTCTCCATAGGTTTATAAAGTGGCAGTCCAACAAGGAAGTAAATTTACGACAATTTGAACAAGGAAAGAGAGAAGGATCAGAAGTTTACATCTTTTGTTCATACTAAAACTAAGGTATATCAACTTTGAAACACTCTTCACTTTCATGTTTAAAATTCCAAAACAATAGTTTTCTTCATCTCACCTTCTTGTTAAAACTTGTAAGATATTCTTATGATTTATTTTGCAGGCATGCTTCGAGTCTAAACCATCAGTGAAAAAGTATCCCCTTGTACATCCGGAAGTCTGAGTAATTCCTGTCTCTCTCGTCGATTTGTGTTTTATGTATCACCTTCATTCTGAGATGACCAACTGGAAAAATAATTGTAAAATTTAAGCTTGAGAAGGACTGTTTTATTCTTAACACTGCTTATCTATAGGGAAAAAAGTGTAACTCTAATTGGCTTAATGCATAAGTTTGGTAGGGATAAGTGCAGTGCGGCACAGATATTGTTTCTCACAGGAGATACGAACGTTTGTTTTTCCTTGTTCACTAAATCATCTTACATGCTTTATGCAAACACATTTTTTTATAATAATAAAAATAATAATAATAAAAAAAACTGGAAGCTCTTTTGGCTTCGATTGTCAACAAAATACAGAGCATTGAATGTTCCTCAGGCAGTTGGGATTTGAGGTCATTGTCGGTGAATTTGTTTTTGACTTGAGGGCAATCCATCTAGAATTTATGCTAAGAAAGGCATGATTGCCTTGGACAATTGGGTTCTATAAGAACCCTAAAACTCTGGTTCAAAAGGGAGCAGTCAACCAAGATTCAAGAACGGCAACAAAAAAATTCATTTACTTCAAACAACAAACACCAGCAAAATCAGGAACCAAAAATCTTAAAATTCTACCAACAGACTACCCTAGCCACAATAAAAAAAATCAATCAAAAAATTCTCCTTGATTATTTGGCAAACGCAACAGTGCAAAAAGTATAAAGATGAGAATGGTCCAAAATCGCCACCATATGAGTAGATTGCATATTCCTTGGTGTGATCTAGAGGTGAAAATAGGAAGATGGTTCACTCTTAAGAAAAGAAGGTCAATCACGATTAGACCAAGGTATGTCAATATGGAAATATCTAATTATATTCAGGATAATCAATTTGAAATTTTATGTTCACTATGGTAGATATGTACAACCATGAGATGATGGACAAAAGGTGAAATCTATACACACACTGAGATCTCTGCTATTTTTGTATTAAGCTTTATATAAATAATAACCTTTTCTTTCCACTATTATTTTGCATATTTCTGTTTCTTTACCATACTTTTTTGTTGAATGTTTGGCTCAGCCAATGTTGAGGAATCATGAGACCAATGGCAGAGAAGGAATAGAAGTATCCAAATGGTGGGAGAAAGATCATGTAAGAATTCAAACAATAAAAGGCCAGCATTGAATCTTTTCGGTTCATTCCACAACCCATATTCCTCAACAGCCTTATTTCCTTCACTTGCCCTCATCCAATCTCATCTTCACTAAGAAGAGAATTTCCTCCCAATCCAAAATCTTCTCAATAAAAATCGAATTGTTCCTTGCAAGCCATAAGAACCACAGGGTAGCACCACATGTTACCATTCATCTTTTTTGTAATTCACTCCCATAAAAGCGATCTTCCAAAGATCTAATGAAGGATTCAACCAAATTGAGAATCACCCAAGTAAAGTCCTACCATTTTCTTTATATGTTGCAGCTCGAAAGGATATATTTTAGGGTTTTTTTTTTCTTTCCACCTTCTAGTGCCATTATCCTATAACAATCTAAGACGTTTCCAATTTCCTTTAGATGTTGCCTAGTAACAAATGAAACAAGACCAAATCCAACCTTTCTCTACTAATACAGTTGTAAGGGGCTCAACATAACCCACATATATTGTGTCAAAGTTGATTACATGTTCATTTATAGTTCAAAGGTAGGGATGGCAAAGTCCAAGCTGGTCCATGGATTCCACCTCGATCTGCCTCCAAGGAGGTTTTTTCTTTTCTTTTTTCTTTGAAAAGTAAGGCGGGTTGCGGGTGGGGCAATATTTTTGTTTGACATATAGGCTGGGTGGGACAGGGCCAAGGGGTTATGGCATGTGGCTGCCCCACTCCACCATGTCCTACCCCGCTTATATTATTATTTATATTTTTATAGGTGTGTATTTACAGATGTTTAATTTGTTAAATTTGAAAAGTTGAAATTAATTGTGATTGAGATTATTATTTTGTTTTATTTTATAAATGTTTTGAAAATTATATTAACTTTGGTGTATCAAAATTTGTATTTGACACTTTTATTCCATTTAATGTTATGGTAGTTATATATTATTATTATTATGTAAATTAGGAAAAATGGGAAAGACAGGAGGAAAATGGATGTTAAAGAAATCCATGGCAGGATAGGGCGAGGGGTTTTGGTTGTCTAAGTGGGATAGGAGCGGATGAGTTTGATTTGCCTAAAGAGGTTGATTCATCTTTAGCTTTTTGGAAGAATGGAGATGACAATAAAACCAACAAAGTTTTGAGAGGAGCTCGGCAGAAGCAATATGTGTAATCAAGAAATAAAGAATTAAACTAAGGAAAGGAAGAATCAAGAATAGAGAATATTAGTTAAATGATGTAAAAAAAAGGGAATAAAAATATCAATCCACCGACAATTGATGCTAACTAAGAGTGATGTAAACATAAAAAGTTCATTGACATATTATGAAAGTTATGAAAAGAATACAAAATAAGAAAATTCGAATAAATCTTTATTCTTCTATTAGATAAATTAAATTTTTATATTTTTATTCTGGATTAAATAAATTTTTATGACAATTCAAATATGTTTCATATAATATTGTGACAATGTTGTGATGCTTTTTGCCACAGCAGAAAATATTGATCCTTTGGCTGCATTTAATCCCAATCTATCTCAATCTTGTTATATAGTTAACTTCTGGCACTACGATACATGATCTCAACAGCACCACCCAACAGCAACATTGATTAATTTGAGCATCAGTGGAACTTCTTCGCTGCCTAAAAGCATTAGAACTACATAGGCCATATTGCACCATTGTGCACTATGATAGACCAAAATCTGAGTAACAGTAAATGTAAGATCCTTTTCCATATCATTCTTTTGTATACATACATATGTAAATACGTGCATACACACACAACACACTCCAATTTGCCAATGAATTGAAGGTGTCTTAAGGCTTAGATTTTTTGGATGTCTTTTTCATCAATACTGACATATTGTTGCTAATAACTTTATTTTATTTAATTTAGTCTTCACTTGAATCTGATTCCTTCCCCAATCTATCGGGGAATGTGACCCTGCAATGTTTTTTTCATTGTTTTGCAGCTGCATGTTGACCACAAGATGAGGTACTTTAATACTGAAATTTTATAATAACATCAGTGTTTATTATTTTACTAAATGATATTTTTATCCTTTATTTTCCTGGCACTCTGAGGCGCTAAGTGCAAACCTAATTTTGATTTTAGAGATGAGGTACATTATAGCAAGCTGCTCCTCTATTATGTCCACATATAATTAAAGTGTAAAGGGTAGCTGTCAAACTCTGTGAAAGTTTATAGAACAATGAAATGGGCAAGTGCTTTACATATTTTAGTTCTCCTATGTAGCTTCCTCTTCGTTGTGTGCTTCAAGGTAGTTCAATTGCTTTATGCTTATATATGTTTTGATCACAGAGTATCATCTTTTATCCTGATATGTGAAAAT